CCCGTATACGCTGCATATCTTTCGGTGGGCCTCCGCAGCTCGCTTGCCTTTCTTGAAGTAATAAAGCAAAATGTGCCGAAAATGCACCTTATTCTCCGACATGTTCACAGGTCTATAGCACAAACAAAACTAATGCCAATGAAACCAAATTTGACAGATGAAAAGAGCGGACTGTCACCTTTCCAAAACATATTTGGATTGCCCGATTAGGCAACCAGAACCGGAGATATTCGGAAAAAATTTGCACTACTAACAAAAAGCGAACGAATATATGGATCCACCCAATATATACGACCGTGAGTATTTTGGGGAAAGACGTTATTGTAGTAATTGATCTTGGTAGCGATTTGCACTTGATACGTGCCAGTTGCTATGTGCAATTAAAAGCTCTGAAGCTTCGTAAGAAATAATCAAATTTGACGGTGCAGGCTCATCGAATCAAAGCACGTTGGGAAGGTTTCCGACGGATGTAGTCGTTGACGATATAACTCTAACATTATCCTTTGATATAGTTCCAGACTACTTTATTGGTCATCACGACTTGTTGATAGGAGGCGAACTATCAGAACTAGCGGAGATTCATATCTGTAAAGCAAACTTGACAAAAATAAACGATTCAGTCGTCGAAACACAGGATCCATGCTGGGCAGAAGTAATGTGCATTAACGTACAACACGACAAAGAGAAAAGATCAGAAGTTCTTACGGAACACATAAAAGAAGAAACTTTCAACTATCTGCGAACGCAGATACGAGAATTGGTAGAAGAATATCATCTCAAAAAATCGAAGGGTAGTGGCGTGAAGATGCATCTTGTCCTGAAAGATGAAGTACCCGTGCACTTCGGAGATTGTCGATAGGCCAACGAGAGGTGGTGAATCGGATTATCAGTAATTGGATACAACGAGGGATTATTCAACCAAACATCTCAGAGCCCGATAGTTCTAGTAGAAAAAAGAACGGAGAACCAAGATTATATGTCAACTACAGATAACTAAATAAGAGGATTGTGAGGGATCATTTTCCACTCCCAATCATAGAAGATTAGCTAGACAAACTATCTGCAGCGAAAATATATTGCACTCTGGATCTCAAAGATGGATTTTTCCATGAACAAATAGAAGAAGACAGCATCAAATATACGTCCTTCATAGTTCCAGATGACCAATATGAATTTTTGGTGGTACCTTTCGGATTATATTATATAATTCGCCAGCCATTTTTTAATGATGTATCAAAGCAATATTCCGCGAACTTACGGCGAAGGACGTGATAATGATCTATTTGGATGATCTCATCATTCCGGCCAAAGACGAGACCGAGTGTCTAAAGAGGTTGAAACAAGTTTTACTCACGGCTAGCCAATTTGGATTACGGATTAATTGGAAGAAGAGCAGCTTACTTGTCCGACAGGTAGAATATTTTGGACGCGTAGTGGAAAACGGCACAGTGAAATCATCAAATAAAAAAGTCCAAGCGGTGACTCGGTTCCCCGAGCGAACAACAACAAAAGCAGACTAAAACTTTCTAAGATTAGCGAGGTACTTTTGCAAGTTCTTTTTACACTACGCCCTGATAGAACGATCGTTATCACAACTGTTAAAAAACAAAGTTAAGTTCAAATTTGAAATAGAACAGAAACAAGCATTCGAGCAGTTGAAGAACGCACTCGTAAGCAATCCAGTACTGAAGACCTTTAAACAAAACGCTGAAACTGAACTTCACACGGATGCGTCCCGGTACAGCCTTGGAGCCATCCTGTTGCAAAAGAACGATGAAGACAATCTTCTTCACCTGATATACTATGCCAGTTGGAAAACTACGGAAGCAGAAGAATGTTATACGAGTTACGAGCTTGAAGTGCTCGCAGTAATTAAGTCGCTACGGAAGTTTAGAGTATACTTTCTAGATCCCTTTTCGCATAGTTACAAACTGTAAGGCTTTCATACATACAATGTCGAAAAGGGACGCATGTTTACGGGTGGCTCGTTGGGCTTTGGAAATCGAAGAATTTTATTATAAAGTAGAACATCGACCAGGAATCTCGATGCGTCATGCCGACGCACTAAGTCAAAATCCCGTGGAATGCTTCGCTTTAGACAAAGAACACAGGATGCACTAGCTACACAAATCGGACGACCTGGAGATTCAAGAGATCTTGGAATCTATGAAGCAGCAACGTAACCAGGACTTTGTTATTGACGAATGGAGTATTATATAAGGAGCATCTTGGAAATTTATTACTAGCGATTCCAAAAGCCATGCAGCAAGAGATAATACTTTAGGCATATGAACGAGGCCATTTCGAATGGAGAAATATCGAATATCAATTACTGCAAGAATTTTAGTTTCCTCAAATGAGACACAAAGTACAAGTTATAAACAATTGCGTGCATTGTTTGCTGACCGAGAAGAAAAGCGGTAAGGCTGAAGGGTTACTACAACCACTGGATAAGTACCATATCACTGGAGACTTATCATATACATCATCTAGGGCTGATCCCATCGACTAAAAAGGATTATGCATACATCTTAGCCGTAGTGGATGCATTTACGAAATTCACATGGCTCTATCGTACAAAGACGACGCGATGACTGAAGAGGTGATGAATCAGAAGAAGGCGGCCATTTTCGATAACCCAAGACGTATTATATCCAATCGAGGAACAGCTTTTACCTCGAATGGATTCCGAGAATACTGTAGAAGAGAAAAAATCGAACACGTGTTGATTACAACGGGCGTACCACAAGTGGAACGTGTCAACCACACTATCATTTTATTGTTAACGAAGTTATCTCTTCCAAAATCAGCAGAGTGGTATAAACGTGGATAAGATTCAACAGTACATAAATTCATCTTTCAATCGAAGCATTGGAACTACGCCATGTTAGTTACTCATTGGGCGAAAGATGTGCCTCAGAGAAAATCTCGAGCTGCGCGGTACTATCCAGAAAGAAAATGTGACACTTTTTCAAGAAGAAAGAATTGCGTTACGGAACAAGGCAAAAGAGAACATATCCAAGATACAGGAGAAAAATCAAAGCATTTCCTATAATCGGAAGTGCAAGCCAGCGAAAAGATATAAAGTTGGAGACGTCGTGGCAATACAAAGGACTCAATTCGACCTAGGTCTCAAACTACAAAATTTATGGAACCCTACAAAATCACGATTGTTTTGAGAAACGACCTTTTTCTCGTCGAAAAATTGAGCGATTCCGAAGGTCCAAGCCGGACAAGTACATCCAATCATCATTTGAAACTTTGGCCTCAACATCGCAGACTAGTATCAGACATCGATCTGCCAATGGAAGAGAGCAGCCAAGAAAATGTCGGTATCGACGACAATGCCGAATTCAGGATGGCTGAGTGTGGAAATGCAGGATCATCTTGATTCTGTCGATATCGATTCTTATATCGATCGATCCGTGCATCAATCGGTGCATCGATGGTATGCTGAGAGCAATGCTTGTGGCGCGTAAGTAGCATTAGGAGACACAAAGGTATAAAGAACGGACGACGAGTGATTCTTTCGTGCGTGAGTCCAACGACTCGAATTCGTGTATGCGATCTTATATATTTAAGATATTATACTAAGATTAAAATTTTAAAATGTCCTTAATCCTAATAAATAAGCGCCTAAAAATGTCTTAAACACTTGAGGACTATCAAATAAGCGCGTCTCATTACTTCCTACATACATCCACAGGACATCCAAATTTGAAATCCTAAAATGATTGTAATTGGGATCTATTTTTTTAATTTTTCTAATTCTAGGTTTGCTGCTAGATGGTGTTATTTCTCTTAAAATTTAGTCATAATCTCTATATGTCCAAGTTTATGTAAGCTCAGACATGTCATAATTATTTGTACTGAGTTTTCGTATGTACTTAGTGCGAGGTATGATTGTATTATACTTTTTATGTACCAACGAAGTTACTGAATATAATATTTTGTAAAATATTATATTCAATCTTGCAAATTGAGCATATTTTATTCGAGATATTCTGCGATAGTCCTTAGGATGTCTTTAAGACATCTGGAGGCCTATGCTACTCGTATATGTGAAATAATAGAATTAATTGTCCCAAAGATTACGGACATCTTTAAGACTTCAGATTTGGATGTATGTAGAACATAATAAAGCGCTCATTTGATAATCCACAGCGCATCCTCAGAATGACCCTAGACTATAACTGAATATCCTAAAAATATCCCGTTTAATTGGCGAGATATTTCTGTGCTATTAGAGAAGAAAAATTATGACGAGCGTCAAATATGTTTTAAATATGTTTCTAATTTATATATTTTTCTTTCAAAATTACAGATTCCGATTACTGCACTTTGGTAAAAGAAATTCCACCATATAATGAAGGTCGACGATTGCTTGATCTTATGGACATGGCAGTCTTCGATTTTTTAACAGGCAACATGGATCGCCATCATTATGAGACATTTAGAATTTTTGGAAACGATAGTTTTACATTACATTTGGATCATGGAAGAGGTTTTGGAAAACCTTTTCATGATGAAATGTCTATTTTAGCACCTCTTTTACAATGCTGTATTATCAGACGAACTACTTTAAGTACTTTACTCCGGTAAGTAAAATCTTTTATTATTTTTTAAATAACCCTGGCAAAAATTTGTGTAGTTTTAACTGAACGTCCAATCAGTTATCTAGTATTACTGATTTCTTTTTGTAATATCAAAATATTGCGTACAACTGAGCAATATTAGTTAAACAACAAAAAATCCAAAAAAACCAGAGCGAGTGTGAGTCAGCGTAATTAATACGCAATATGTAATCTTAAATCTTTATTTTAAAAAAAACCATAGTACATTTCGACTCACTTTGTAGCCATCCTCAGCAATAACAAAATTCGAAATATAACTCCTTTTATGTTCAAGGAAAAATTAACATCAGATTTACAGATTTGATGTTGTAAAATTCCAAAACATAAAAGGAATTTATCTCAATTGGATTAAAAAATCATGCTTAAACGATTAAAACATGACATTCTCTAATGGTAATACATTTTAATCGTTTAAGCGATTTTTTTATCCAATATTGAGACGAATTCCTTTTATGTTTTCTGATTTTACAACGTCAAATCTGTAATTCTGATGGTGATTTTTTCTTGGATATGAAAGGAGTTATATTTTGAATTTTGTTATTGCTCTCATTCGCTCTGATTTTTTTTGGATTAGTAGTATATATGGGCAGCCATGGGGCGTCAAAATAAACCCCCTCCACGTCTCCCTCCAGCGCCCTAGACGAGTCAGTCTGGAGAAAGGGCGCGCTCTGATTGGTCGAGGAGTGAAGGATGGGGTAATTAAATATTGTATTCTGATTGGTTCGCCCTATTGGTACTTGCCAAAAATTTGATTGGTTCGTTCCATACCTACCCATAAGATTGGAGAAGGCCTCAGACAAAATGGAGAGTAAAATCTGAAAAATGATGAGTGGGGATTGGGATTGCAGCATTCTTTTGTCACGAGGGCAGAGTATGAACAGCGGGAGGTGAATAGTCAAATTTATGACGGTCACTTTTTGTTGTCGCGGCGCAACATCTCCGTCGTGTAGGCGTTTTAGTGAATGTTATTTATGTATGAGAAAGGAGATTATACGAAAATTTGCGGGTCTAGAGAGAGTCTTGATTTTGTTCGGAAGAGTTTGGGGGAGGTAAAACATGAACGAACATGTTCAACTGTTGCGGCGCGTCGTCTCCGGTGTGACGACTCACTCGTTCGAGCGAGAGTATGATTTCTATGATGTATGGCAAGGATTTTATGAATTGTACTTCTTGTACTTTATATAAAAGTTTATATATATAACACGGAAATAAGTAGAGAAAATAGTTGATTATTGGAAGGTACGAGTAATTAAGAAACGAGAGTTATGTTATACAAAAATGTATTTATTGATACAAATTTTTTTTTTCAAAGAAGAAGAAATACATAGTTTGCATGAGAATAAATTAAAAGTTTTAGTAAAATTAAACCAAAGATTCTCGCTTCGAGAGAATTATTTGAAAAATTTTATTATATCTTAACAAAGTTTCAATAATAATAATTCCAAAAATATTATATTGAAATACATATCAAGAAAAGCTAAGTCGTTAATTTGTGAACGTACATTACGTTCTATATCTTCATAATTACCACGCAACGTTAATTTTATAATTTCCTGATTAATAAAACATGCAGGTAATTTCAGTTCGATTTCTTGAATTAAATATAAAGCACACTTATTAACATTATCGGATAAAAATTCTAATTGTTTTAAACGCGCACTTTACAATGCCTCGCAATCCGAGGAAGATAGGTTTTTGCATTACAATTGCCGCTACGTAAATTCTTCGTTTCTTCGCCGGTGGAGTTAAATTGAGCGCATCCTCTTCTTTTCGAAAATTTCCGTTGGAATTTTCCTCTTCTTCTTTATACGCTAGCAATATTGATTTTGACCCGTAAGATGTGGTAAAGCTGATGGTGATATTTTTTATAATAACAAAGTTAGGTTTCACTCTATTATCGCTGCTTAAATACTCGTTCATGAGTTTCATGTGATCTTGAAACTGTTGCCAGCAGTTGATGTCAAAATAAATTCCATCTGCATTATGTCCGCTCAATTTTACAACAGGTTTGAAGATTCCTTCGAGCGTTCTGTGCAATCCTACGTGAAACGTCTTCGTGAGAATTGTTAAGGCCATACGTTGTTGCTAACAACATATGAAATCGAGTGTGTCTTCTCTCGTCGATGTCGTTACGTAACTTGTAAGAATCAGGGATGGAGTACATGCCCATGTCCGAATTATTAGTATTTTTTGGACTGGCCATTGTCCTTAGGTCGTAGTAATGCCACATTCAGTAAACCAGGATGGCGAACAAAAACACAAGAAGCACAGTACTTGTTTGCTTGCGAAGTCAAAGCTGTGAATGACGAGAATGAAACGGATTTTCGTTAACACCGTCATCACCATCCTCTCCGACGCTACGTAATAAAATTATTCTGCGCGCACATATGAAAGAAATAAAAAACATAAAGTTTCTCTAAATTTTTCTTAAAAATTTAAAATAATCTTTACCCCGTAGAAGTCAGGAGAGGGGGTGGGAACAAGATAAAACGAGAACGAACAGGAATGAACAAGTGCGAAACAAAAGGTTTTACGATTTCTCTCCTGGTTTTCTATGATACGACGGGGAAGGAAGGAATTTGATCAGGTGAAAAGAGAAAATTTTTCGCTATAAAGAAAAAAAGAATTGGGGGGGTTTAGGTCGCGGGTAGTTTCTAACGAATAAGATTTAGTATATCAATAACTCACGAGTTTCTTTTAAAAAGATAAGAAGAAATTTATGAAACGTCTTCGCTTTAAAATAAATTTACAATTGATTTTATTACTTTTTAGAAAATTCATTAATTTAAAGTGACCGAGATACGGCACAAAAATGTTGAACTGAATTGGGGTAATGTAGGAAATTTATTCGTCTTCCTCTTTTCTAAAACTTTTGTGTATACTCTCGTGGCAAAAAATAACGTGTAGTATACGGAAATTTATAGGATACAAAAATTAAATATTAATTATATTGATAAACGTGAAAAAAGTTTTAAACGAAGGGAGTTATGTTCAAATGTTCGCCATGATTTTTCCTCATGACGAGACCCTGAAGAAGAGAAAACAACCAAAAACTAAGTGATATTGTCGGTCAAGCGAGATATAGAAATTTCTATTAAAATTGAATTTTTTGTTGAAAGGTTTAATGTTTATTAGTCGTAGACTAATATTGTGTGAGAATCCTCTTAAGTAAGAAGATACAAAAAGCAGAAGGAAAAATTAAAACGTGAGATTCGCCGTAACAATAAAAATTGTACAGTGAGGTAAAACTTTTCTGGGTAATAATGAAAACGAGAGCTAAAGGTTTTATTAGGGTAAATGCGAATGTCGATGCTTTTCGAGATAATTTGCACGGGTCAAAAACGGTGTTAGATCGGGTATAGGGATGGTTATAACTTAAAAGTTTTTGTCGTCTCCCCGCTTCTCTAAATTTTACGAGAAAATCATTTCTAGTAAAGGAGGCAGTCGATTACCAAAATCGTCAAAAATCTATTGACCAATAAAGGGACTAGGAACTTTTAGCGAATTTTTTCGTGGGAGAGGAATTTTTATGAATATCGCTACGGGACATAAATAGCACGCCCTGATCGAGTTAAAGTTTAGTCCTACGTTCAAACTCCGAAGTGAATTTTACATTGACTATTTGTGCGCTTTTAATTTAAAAAATGGAACTTCGCGAGTTACTAGGAAAATTTTTCATCGTTGCTAGCAACTTAAATAAAAAATTAGTTGCTGGCGATTATCTGACAAAGTTATCAGATAACGATGAAAAAAGTTATTCCGTTTTCGGGAATTTTGTTGGCGAGTGCTCCAGTACACTAGTGTGCGTTATGAACAAACTGGGACATTGCGGTGGTGACGAGAGACTAAAAAATATAATCGCACGTCATCTCGAAATACGCGAGTGCTTTGGTCACGAGGAGGATGTCACATAGCTGACTTCAAGCGACGCACTGGACTAAGAGGTAAGCAGTAATAATTTCTAAAACAAAATCTAATATATATTAAAAATAAAAACTAACCTTATAATTAAATTATAATATTTATTTCATAGAAGCCAGCAGTATTGTAGAATGTGCGATACCACATCGCTGGATCGTAGGACGACTCAGTTTAAGGAGACGTCGCCCCGCGAGAGAAGAAGAGGAGGGAGTAAAAATTTTGGAGAAATAAATATTAACTAAACGATTATAGAAATCTCGAATGTTAAAATATTTTATTTTTTTCTAGGAAGAGCACGAATCGAAGCGGAAAATAATGTTCCGCCTTCGCGTGACGTTTCTGTCATTGTAATCGATAGGTATTTCACAAATAACCGAGAAATCTAGTTCGCATAATATAGATTTAATGCGATAAAGAATAAATCAATTTTGTTTTAAATGATGATGATGATGATGATGATAATAATGATGATGACGATAACATCAACAATGATGGGAATGACGGTGTGAGTCCAGCTGATTCCAGAGCACTGGTCTCACCAGGTTCCACAATTTCCATAACGTGTAAGTTTTTTAAAAAAATAAATTAGATAAATATAGAGTTAGTTATATACAGAGTTCAAAAATAATAATAATAATAATTTATTATTATTTTTATTATTTTTTAGCGCACGAAATCGAAGAGGAATTAATACAGGAAGAAGAATCTGAAGAGGAGGAGGAAGAGGAAGAAAAAGACGACAATGAGAATAATACTGACGACGCAGACGACGCAGACGACGACGACGACGACGCAGACGACGACGACGACGACGACGACGACGCAAGTGATAATGCTGCGGATAATGAGGAGTCCAACGAGAATGTAAAGAATAGCAACGACGATTACAACAGCGATGATGGAGAGGAGGAGGAAATAATTGAGGAAGAAATAAACAGCAGCAGCAGCAGCAGCAGCAACAACAACATGCGCATCATCATCATCATCATCATCACGAGAAAAATGATCAGGATCGTCATCGCTGACAGGAGGAGGTTAGAGAT